TTGTTTACTGAGCAGAACTTTGTTTTATTGAGCAAAATCATGCTAACTGCAAGCAATTGGTGCTGGGCTATTAGTTCATAACTTGATAGGTTATCATCTGAATGCTAAAGTGGAATAGCAAACCTGTTTGGTGTAGTTATCAAAGGCACCAAGCTGGAAACTGAGAGACTTTTGAGCCTGAACAAGTCAAGACTGACTTGAAGGCAAGAAATGAAGAAAGAAAGGAATGGAATAGAGTAAATACCTGATGTGGAATTTTTCAACTTAAATTAATGATAAAACAATTGCCTGAAACTTTTCTCATAGTTTTAGATAGTAGTGGGCTGCCAATTTTTTAACAACCGGTTCTCTGTCCTAATGACTGGCTGGGTGGGTGTGGCTGGGTGGGTGGGTGTGGCCAACTCAATGTCACTTACGTCCAGGGGCACTTCGCCTTGCCCGCCCTCATGACTGTGGGGATGCTGCAATGGTTGTAAGTGTGAAAAATGATCATAAGTCACTTTTTTCAGTGCCCTTGTAACTTTGAATGGTCACTAAATGAACTGTTGTAAATCAAGGATTACTTGTACAAAAATACAAAAAGCTTCTTTGCTTGCAAAAAGCTGCCCTAAATACCAGTCATTAGATTAGAAATTGGGGAATACACACTGAAGATCAATGAGTCACAGCCGTCATGGAAAACTAAACCATTCTGTCTGAGTACCTTCCTTTTCCTCAGCAATACCTGCAACCCGGAGTTACAAATTAGGCAGGTTGCCAGAGTACATTTAGGAATTAAAATAGTTAAATTACAAGGATAACTATCAGCAGCCAAATTACTCTTGCTCATAAAGTGAAACCCTTTAGCAGAGAGGTCATTTAAACTCTCCAGAAAGTGGGTTGGCATATTTGGGCTACAAAATGCGGAGCTAAAGAGACAAATTAACAATTAACATATTGAGTGAGAGCTAATCTCATTCTGCCTTTGTTCAGACCTTGCTTCAGGGAATTTTTGCCTATGAATATAGCTATCTATCTCTTTATCTCTTAAGTGCTGACATCTTCTGTGGGCTATTAAGGAAGGTGGGGGCTGCTTTCTCCCTCTAAGAAAACATGTTTCTCCATTTCTCATTCAGGGAAATATATTCTTCCTTTTTAATATTTCTCAAAATATTTCATTCTTCTAGGAGAGGAGTGGGTGCTAACTTTCTATAATTGGTGCCATGTTACTACCCTGTTTCCCCCAAAATAGGACATCCCCTGATAATAAGCCCAATCGGGCTTTTGAGCACATGGCAATAAGGCCAAGCACTTATTTCAGAGTTCAAAAAAATATAAGACAGGGTCTTTTTTATGGGGAAACACAGTACCGTATTTTCTGGCATATAAGACGACTTTTTAACACATGAAAATCTTCTCAAAAGTCGGGGGTCGTCTTATACGCCGGGTGTCGTTCTCCTGTAACCAGGCAGACCAGCCCGAAAGGCTCTGACGAGCCTTAAATGGCTCTGGCGATCCAAGCTCTGATGATCTGCTAATCAGGCAACTCAGCTGGGATCGCCAGAGCCATGGAGAAGGGAAAAACTTTTCCCCCTCCAGCTTGCTTACCTTAGCTCAGTGGTTGGGGGTCAAACAACCCTTTCACAGGGGTTTTGCAGGTGGTGCAATACAGAAAAACGAGCGCAGCCCTCGCCATCCGGAATGAATGGTGCTGTTGTGGCGGTGGGGGAGGGGGCGGCAGAAGCAGGAAGAAGCGGCGTTTGCGATGGCTGGAAGCTGTGAGAGTGAAGCACTACTTTCATTTGTACGGCAACAGCATTCCGCCTTGGTATATTTGTGTCAGCCAGTGGCGCAAGGCAGCCCTCCTCTCCTGCTGCCTGGGACTCAGAGTGGTAAATGGCGTCTGATCCAGAGAGCAGCTGGATTTTGCTCTCCATTGCGGACGCCAGATCAGCCCCCTGCAAGATCTCGTCTCTTGAGGAGCACTCCCTGAAGCGGGGCTGGAAACTTTGGTTGGACTGCTTGAGAGGAGAGCTTGCAGGGGTGGGCGATCTGGTGTCTGCAATGGAGAGCAAAATCTGGCTTTTTCTCTCCTCTGTAAGAGCGCTGTAAGAGCGGCAGCCCTCATCTCCTAATGCTTGGGACTCGGAGCGGTAAATGGTGACTGGTCTGGGGAGCAGCTGGATTTTGTTCTCCATTGCGGACGCCAGATCAGCCCCCTGCAAGATCTCATCTTTCGAGGAGCGCTCCCTGAAACGGGGCTGGAAACTTTGGTTGGACTGCTTGAGAGGAGAGCTTGCGGGGGGCGATCTGGTGTCTGCAATGGAGAGTGGCATCCGGCTTTTTCTCTCCGCTGTAAGAGCGCTAGCCCTCATCTCCTAATGCTTGGGACTCAGAGCGGTAAATGGTGACTGGTCCAGGGAGCAGCTGGATTTTGCTCTCCATTGCGGATGCCAGATCAGCCCCCTGCAAGATCTCGTCTCTCGAGGAGCCCGACCAAAGTTTCCAGCACCGCTTCAGGGAGCGCTCCTCAAAAGATGAGATCTTGCAGGGGGCTGATCTGGCGTCCGCAATGGAGAGCAAAATCCAGCTGCTCCCCGGACCAGTCACCATTTACCGCTCTGAGTCCCAAACAGCAGGAAACAAAGGCTGCCTTGCGCCGCAAACATACCAAGGCAGAATCCTGATGCTGCACTTTCAGCAGACAGATGAGGGCTGCCTCGGCCATCGGCTGGCGCAAATATACCAAGGCGAATGCTCATGCCGCACAAGTTCAAGTAGTGCTTCGCTCCCACACTTCTTCCGGCCCTCAGTCTCTCAGGGAGATGCTTGACTTCCTCTCAGCCCCAAGACACTGGCTGGCCCATGAGATGAGAGAGAGAGAGAAAGAGAGAATCAGAATGAGACAGAGAGAGAAAGAGAAAAAGAATGAAAGAGAGAATGAGAGAGAGAGAATCAAAATGAGACACAGAGAGAAAGAGACAAAGAATGAAAGAGAAAGACAGAATGAAAGAATGAGAGAAAGAGACAGAGAGAATCAGAGAGACAGAGTGAGAGAGAGAGAAAGAGACAGAATCAAAGAAAATCAAAGAATCAGAGAATGAGAGAGAGAGAGAGAAAATGAAAGAGAATCAGAATGAGAGAATCAGAATGAGAGGGAGAGAGTGGGGAGAGAGAGAGAAAGAGAAAGAGGGGGAGGGAGAAAGAAAGAGTGGGGATGAGAGAGTGGGGGGAGAGAGAAAGAGGTGGAGAGAGAAAGAGAAAGAGTGGGAGAAAGAGAGAGAAAGAGGGGAGAAAGAGAATGAGAGAAAGAGTGGGAGAGAGAGAAAGAGAAAGAGGGGGAGGGAGAAAGAGAGAAAGAGTGGGGTGGAGGGAGAAGGGGACAGAGAGAAAGAGAGAATGAGAGAGAGTGGGGGGAGAGAGAAAGAGGGGGAGAGAGAAAGAGAGAAAGAGTGGGAGAAAGAGAGAGAGAAAGAGGGGGGAGAAAGAGAATGAGAGAGAAAGTGGGAGAGAGAGAGAAAGAGAATGAGAAAGGGGGGAGAAAGAATGAGAGAGAGAGGGGAGAGAAAGAGAAAGAGTGGGGAAAAGAAAGAATGAGAAAGAGAGGGGGAGAGAGAAAGAGAATGAGAGAGTGGGGGAGAGGGGGGAGAGAGAAAGAGAGAATGAGAAAGAGTGGGAGAGAAAGAAAGAGAGGGAGAGAGAGAGAGAAAGCGAAAATGAGAGAGAGAAAGAGAGAATGAGAGAGAAAGAGTGGGAGACAGAGAGAGAGAGACAGAGAGGAGGGAGAGTGCCTGAAGGACCCCATCTTGTACTGGGAGTCCAGGTGCTTCAGCAAGCGGCGCACTGGATTCGTATTAGTGGTCCGCGAAATTTAAAATTATGAAGTTGGTGGTCCCTGAGGTCCAAAAGGTTGGGGACCCCTGACCTAAGACCATTGGAAAACACATATTTTTGATGGTTTTAGGAATAACTTTATCGTTGGGGGTCACCACAACATGAGGAACTGTATTAAAGGGTCGCGGTATTAGGAAGGTTGAGAACCACTGCCTTAGCTACTTGCCTTGCTTCGCTTGCCTGAATCCATTCCATCAGCAAGCAACTCCCTGCCTGCAATCAAGCAGGCAGGGAGTTGTGGACTTCAACTCCCAGAATTCCTCAGCCAGCAAAACAAAGCTGGCTGAGGAATTCTGGGAGTTGAAGTCTACAAGTCTTAAAGTTGCCAAGGTTGGAGACCCCTGTTCTATTGGGTAAGTTTTTTTCCCCTTTGGGATCTTTAAAAAAAATAGTTAATTGGGGTTTTCTTTAGTTGTTCTTTTTTAGACCTAGCCATTTAAATTTAGGAAGATTTAAATTTAGCTTTCATATAAAAATAAAATAAAATAAAATAAAATAATATTTGTGCAGCTTTCTGAGATTTAGTGTCTTTTTGTAGTGTTTCACTCTAACTACACAAACACACAAAATCTCACAAAGCTGTATGTGGAATTTTGTGTGTGTAAAGTGTGAAAGTTGGGTTTTTGGGCTTTTTGTGGCTGTGTGAGGTTCCTGCTTGTTTCAGGGGGCATTTTGGGTCTAGCACAGCTGCTTTTACATTGTGGATGAGCCAGTTGTGTTGTGTTGTGTTGTGTGTGTGTAAAGTGTGAAAGTTGTTTTTTGGGGCTTTTTGTGGCTATGTGAGGTTCCTGCTTGTTTCAGGGGCCATTTTGGGTCTAGCACAGCTGCTTTTACATTGTGGGTGAACCAGTTGATGTTTTTTTAATTTTTATTTGGTGTGCATTGGAAGAGGGGTAGTCTTATACGGGGAGTATAGCCCAAACCCTATATTTTAACAGGAAAATTTGGGGGTCGTCTTATACGCCCAGTCGTTTTATACACCGGAAAATACGATAATTATATTGTAAATCGCCTTTTTTAGTTCATCATTGTAAGTTTATTTTTTAAACTTAGATTCAAACTATAAATTTAACTTTGGTTTCAAGAACATAACTTTAATGTTTGTATTTTTTTTAAAAAAAATTTAGGATCGTCTAGAAATAGGGATGGGGAATCTGGCTACGTGACTGCAGCGTTGGGGAACACATGGAGTCATTGCGTCAATACAAGACTCATTTTACAGTATTTGGATTCAAAGACAAGACAGGTGAGGAACCAAAAAAGCATATTATTTCTACAGTCAAATCTCATAAACTATATGGTCAAATTGGCCTTTTTTGCTGAAAGAAGGTACTCTAGTTTGTAATTCACATTTGGAAAGTGGAAGCAGGGAGGTTTCCCAAATTAAAAATTCTTGTCTATTATGTCTACTTTCTTCTCTCTTGGAATGAAATTGTTGCTGGAACATTTACTTCATAACTTTCATAAATGACTTAGATGAGGGAATAGAAGGGAACTTACTAAATTTGCAGATGATAATAAACTGGCAGGAATAGATGACAGTATCAAAATCCAGATGGATCTTGCCAGACTTTAACACTAGGCCTTACTGTATGTAACAAAATGAAATTCAATGTAGAGAAAAGTAAAGTTTTCACTTAGGCAAGAAAAAGCAAAAGTAAACATATAGACTGGGTGAAACGAGGCTTAATAGCAGAAACTGTGAGAAGGATCTTGGAGTCTTAGTGGACAACCAATTAAATATGAGCCAATAGTGTACGGCAGCAGCCAAAAAAGCCATTGCAATCCTAAAATGCATTAACAGAAGGATTCAATCAAGATCAAGTGAGGTATTAATACCATTCTAAAAAGCCTTACTAAGACCACACCTAAAATACTGCATCCAGTTTTGGTCACCACATTATAAAAAAGATGTTGAGACTCTAGAAAGAGTGCAGAGAAGAGCAACAAAGATGATTACGGGACTGGAGGCTAAAACATATGAAGAACGGTTACAGGAACTGAGCATGGCTAGTCTAATGAAAGAAGGACCAGGGGAGACATGATAGCAGGATTCCAATATTAGAGGAGCTGTCACAGAGAGGAGGGGGTCAACCTGTTTTCCAAAGCACATGAAGGCCAGACAAGGAATAATGGATGGAAACTGATCAAGGAGAGATTCAACCTAAAATAAGGAGAAATTTTCTGACAGTGAGAACAATCAACCAATAGAACAGCTTGCCTTCAAAAGTTGTAGGAGCTTCATCACGGAGGCTTTCAAGAAGAGACTAGACTGTCATCTGTCAGAAATGGAGTAGGGTCTCCTGCTTGGGCAGGAGGTTGGACTAGATGACGTACAAGCTCCCTTCCAACTCTGTTAATCTGTCTGTTAAAACTTCAGAGCTAAATATTAGGCAAAATATTTTGGGTTCAAGCAAAACATTTATGTCCTAAGTACTGAAGAGGAAAAAGAGTAGACAAAAACTATAGCCCCCTATATTTATGCCCCTTTCTGTGGTTGTGCATCTCCTCACTCTTAACAAGTCAAGATATAACTTCTGAATGAAGAACTTTTTTATCGAGGGAGAACGCTAATGTGATTAAACCCTGGTTTCTAGGATTCTAAGTTGGGCAGGGTGTTGACAGATAAAGAAAGGACTGGGAGAAGTCACAAAATCTAAACATGCTGCATTCATGTTGTCTTTTCATTCAAGTAATATAAAAAATCAGAAAATTGTCCCTTATTGTCCCACACATTACAACCTAGCAATTTTCCACTCTAAGTAAATATTGAGCCCTGTTAAAGCAAGCAACAAATTCCCCGGTGTACCAATGCCAGACATAACTTTCCGGTGCCCTTGGTTACAGACCAGCTGGTTTTGCTCTTGTCTGATTACTGCTGTATAAATAGCATTCCAGCATTCTATCATAAAACTATAATTTTGAATAGTGGTAACTGGAGAATACTCAGAATAGGTTATATTAAATATTAAAAGGAAGAATGTATAATTGCGCATCTGAGTCTTTTAAAATCTGAAAGATCTAATATTAAAGAAAACGGTACACTCACTGGGGTTTCAACTGTTTACTCCATTTATGTTATTCCCCTGAAGCCAAAATCTGGGTGAATATATATGCAATAATTATTTTAGAATGAACAAACTAATGCAGATTTAAACTGATAAGAATGGGAGAGAAGATAAAAGCATTCAGTGTAATGTTTACCAAAAGGCATGATATTTCTATCTTTCAATTTTTATAATTTGATTTTTATTAAAATAAACATGTGCTTACAAGTATATTAATTAATATAAAACATTTAACAATTATTTTTAATGAACATGTATTCTTGCACTGAATTATAGAGCAAAGTCTATTTGTAATGGGCAGTTGAATAATAATGATGTATAAAAATATTATATAAAAATATTAAAAAAAATTAAAGATTGGTTTAAAGATTTGCTTGGGATTGTGGAAAGCACTTAGATTGTTCCTGGAAGGTGCTTTTAATAAAACTGGGATGTATTAAAAGTCTTTAGAACCTATAAATAAGAAAAAAATACTTTATAAACACTAATGTAGAGTATTCAGAAAATGAGTTTTAGAAAGGAAAAGAATCCTGCATTAAGTTTCGGTTATGCTGAGTACAGTCTGGATAGTAGTGACAAATTTGTGAGCATTTACTAGAAAACATTTGGATCAGGTGTATAAAACTGAGATAATCTCAGGCTAGCTAGTGAGTCCTACTTTTCTTTAACACTATGATTCCAGGTTGCCTTCAGGAGTCTCCACTGGATGCTAAGTGGATACCCCACATGCTCTGAAGTATCTTTATTGAACCAAACCTCAAGTATTGCATAAATGAACCAATTAGAGCCAGTTTGGTCTAGTGGTTGAGGCATTAGGCTACAAACCAGGAGACTGTGAGTTCTAGTGCCACCTTAGCCATGAAAGCCAGCTGGGGGTGATCCTGGGCCAGTCACTTTCTCCCAGCCCAATTCACTTCACAGGGTTGTTGCTGTGGGGAAAATAGGAGAAGGAAAGTATGTTGGATATGTTTGCCATCTTGAGTTATTTGTAAAAATAATAAAGGCGGGATATAAATAAATAAAAATAAATACTGAGCTCAGTATTGTTGCAAAATGTTACTGATTATCCAAACCTGCTACTTTTCAAAAATGCAAGTTTCTTTCACATGGATAAGGTAATAGTGAAAAAGCAGCTGTATGGGGTTTTCAATATATCTATTGTTCAAATTTCCAACATGGAAAACGCCATAACACGCTTAGATATTTGAGATACAATCCTATGTATCAGCATTCCATATGGATTCTAAAGCAAATCTCATAATGCTCAGATAGCAACTGTAGCTGTTGTCTTCTGGGGATGGTAGTAATTTTATTTATTTATTTATTTATTTATTTATTTATTTATTTATTTATTTATTTATTTATAATTTATATACTGCCCTTCTCCCTGAGGACTCAGGGCGGTGTACAGCCAGAATTAAAAAACATAAAATACAAATATTAAAAAACAATTAAAATATATATAAATTTGGCCCAAAATTAAAATACAAACCAGTTAAAACATTTAAAATTTCTTCTTAAGCCAGCCCAGCTTGCTGGAAAAAGTGGGTTTTAAGGGCACGGCGGAAGGCACTAAGGTCTTGGATTCTCCTTATCTCTGGGGGCAACTGATTCCAGAGGGTAGGTGCCCCCACAGAGAAGGCCCTCCCCCTGGGGGTCACCAGCCTACATTGATTGGCTGATGGCACCCTGAGGAGGCCCTCTCTGTGGGAGCGCACGGGACGATGGGAGGTCGTCGTAGCAGCAGGCGGTCTCGAAGATAGCTAGGCCTACAAGAAAGAAAATCCCGCTGAGTTTGGTCACTTTTTCAGTTTGTACATGCATAAAAATTATAGCAGCTTCATCTGTGACACTAGATCTGTTTGTTTAATTATTTTGTATCCTGCTTTTGTTTTTGGTCAACTCAATTGGCATATAGTTTAATGGCCTGAGAACAACAGACAACAGCTACAAAAATCCATTTCACCATTTAACAGATGTTTGGATCTACTTCAGATCATTCTCTTTCCATGAAAATCAAGGTTTTCTAAATTTGAAATTACTGTTTGAATAAAAATTAAGAAGGTAGTGTTAATGAATTCATACCGTACTGTATTTCAAGTTATTCACAACACATGTTGTGTTTTAATGTGGTCAAGTAAAATTTGATCAATACATAAAATAGATGGACATTTCACTCAATGTCTCTTTGTAAATCATTGTTTTCCCCGATGGAGTGGATTTATTGGGAAAAGTTATATCTTTGTTATGTGTGGATTATTAACTCTTACAAGCAAAACTCTCATTAGAAAGATAAATACTTCCTTGCTTATCAGCTAACTCTATGCTTACACTGTTTTAATTTGAATTCTTTTCCTTTCATTACGAGCCAAAACCATACCAGTAGCCATAACCATCTGCTTAATGTTTTGATTTTCCTGATTCAGAAATTCTGTTTATCAATTCAGTAATTGCTACCCTGTTCAATTTATCACTCCGTGGTCTTCTTTCCCATTGGCATGTTCTTACTTGAAAGAGTTGAGATTTCAAAGTGCCCTTGACATGCTAAACAATCTGAAAAGATATTACAGTATTTTTAAATAAGAGGAATAAAGTAAAACAGTCACAGAATATATAAATTGAAGGAACTCTATTTAAATCCCCGACATCTGATAAGAAGCTCCTTGCTGTTCTAGGCTAAATATTCTACCTAATTATAAAGTTGGTATTGTCAAGAAATTTGTCCTAAATATTTTAAATCTTATTTTTTTAAAAAAAATAGTTATCTGGTCTTTGTCCTGGTTTTGGTTTCTACTGAGAAAATATCTGACCCTTCTTGTATGGGATAATCTTTTAGGTATTTGAATCTTCTATCCTTCTGTTTTGCAAGCTAAATGTGCACAGTTCTTTACATGTGTTTACGTTCCTTAGACTTGATTTGTAGAGCATCTTAGTATCTTTGTAGTTCTCCTCAGATGTCCCTTTAGCTTCTTTTAAAACATAATGCCATCAAATGGATAGAGTGGTCCAACTGCTATCTAACCAGTTCAAAGAACATTAAAGCTACAGTATTACGTCCTACGATCAGAATGCAATGCTTCTGTAAATACAGCCTAAGATTCCACTGAACATTTTAGTGGCTGTTCCGAACTGCATGTTCATATTCATATAGGGGGTCTAGTACTTATAGAACATTCTC